ACGGCCTTCTAAGGCTTTATCCAAGGAGATCCCATTACTTGGCTTTCCTAGACAGCCTTCCAAGGCTTTATCCAAGGAGTTCCCATCACTTGGCCTTTCCAGGACAGCCTTCTAAGGCTTTATCCAAGGAAGATGACTTCAAGATCTCCATCCTTCCTTGAGGAATCCTGAGATGGTTGATTGCCCAGATGCTGTCTCTGGCCACGAGCAGATTGGTCCATGTTCCCTTCCCTGGGAGCAGCTTCAGCCTCCATCCTGGAGGTGCCATCACAAATCCCATGTAATTCCGAGGAGATCTTCCCCTCAGATGATGTTTTTGAGGGATGAAGTCACGTCTGGGTCCATTTTTACCTCTCAATCCATGCAAGGCCCTGTCCCCGCATGCGCAGCCGCGCCAGGGGTATCTCCCCGTTGGCTGTAATTAATTAATTTACAGTGGATGTCTCTTTTCTGCCATGCCTTTGAACTCTTTATTCTTTGTCCATTGTAAAGGGCTTAACGGTTCCTGTTCCTTGATTCTTTCATCAGTGAAATGTTTTGGAAGAGAGGTTGGAGTCCCCCTGTGACCTGCCCTGGGTGGCCCAGGCCTGTAGACCTTGCAAAGACATTACTTTTTTGGCCTGAACACAAACCCCTCAAACCTTTAGCCTGGCTAAATGCTTTGTACAAACAGCCGCATACTGATCTGCTCTATTCTCCGGTGATTTTCTGCTCAAGGGGCTGCTCTGTAGGTTGCTTGCTATGTTTGCCACTTGCCTTGGTCGTGAAGACAGAACAATAAACGAATCCGACAGTACTGAGGCCAACACTGCGCTCGGTTGTTCCGAGGAAATTATCCTGAAATCTGCTTGAGGAGATTAAACCCAAGAAGAACTGGCTGTGTCTCTCCTCTAAAGCTCCGCTCTCCTCTTTGTTTGCCCTTTTTTGCTCCGAGACTTTGTTCATTCCTCCTTGAGAATGGGTTGGTGGCATTGGTATGTAAAGTGTGACCTGCGATTACAGGAGGTGCAGCTCCTTGTCCAGCAGCCCAGGGGAAACATTGCATTCATTCCTCTGCAGCTTTTCTGAGTGTCTGGGCCGAATTCCTGTTCTCCTTTCTTCTGGGATATGAAAAATATCAGCTCCTATATCATTTCTTCTTTGACACAGAGAATATCAGCTTTTACATAGTTTCTCCTTGGACACAAAGATTGTCAGCTCCTACGTTATTTCTCCTTGGACACAAAGATTATCAGCTCCTTCATTATTTCTTCTGTGACACAAAGAATATCATCAGTTCCTACATAATTTCTTCTGGGACACAGAGAATATCAGCTTGGATGTTGTTTCACTTCTTGGATGTCAATCATAGAATCCCAGAATTGTAGGATTTGGGCTGGAAAGGACATTAAAGACCATCTCATTCCAGTCATGGGCAGGGACACCTCGTGCTAGAAGGTTCCAGAGCTTTGTTAATTCAGTGCTGATGAATATTTTTATTAGAATTGCTGTTCAGTTGAGTGTTCTCTCAGTGTGTCACCATCCTAAGTTTTCAAGTCTCACTCCATAACTGTCCTGGCTTCATCCAGTAACTCCCTTAGGAATTCCTTAGATTGGCTTGGGATGGAAGGGACCTCAAGACCATCTCATTCCAGCCATGGGCAAGGCCGCCTTTCTCTAGAAGGTTCCAGAGCATTATTAATTCAGTATTTTGGTGAAAATTGCAGCTTAAATCAGTGTTGGCTCAATGTGTGACCATCCTGCGTTTTGAAGGGCAGCATCATTCCATAACTCTCCCAGCATTCCTCCAGTTGGTTCCTTAGGAATCACTGACTGGTTTGGGATGGAAAAAACCTTAAAAGCCATCCAGTTCAGGATGGAAAATATCTCAAAAGCCATCCAGTTCCAACCTGTCCATGGGCAGGGAAATGTGGGAAGGGACAATGGGCAGAGACAGCTAAAGGTGAGCTGCTAAGGAGCAGCCGTGTCCTGGGATGAAATCTCTCTTGGGATGAAATCTGTCTTGAGATGAAATCTCTTTTGGGATGAAGTCTGTCTTGGGATAAAATCTGTTTTGGGATGAAATCTGCCTTGGGATGAAATCTGGCTTGGAATGGAATCTGCCTTGGGTTTCTCACAAGCAGCCGACAGCGGTGATAAATTCACCAGCCTTGTGAGAACATTCACAATCACAGGCATTTTCTCATGAGGATTTGAAGTTCATGCTTTGGGGAAGATCTTGAATTTCCCAACTCCGTGTGTGCTCCTAAATAGATGCTGAACAGCTGTGAGGCCCTTGATCCAAAATAGAAACTCGTTTTCCTCACAGTCCTTCCAGGGTTTCTTTTCCAGGATTTCTCCAAATGTAATCAGGAACATGAGGTGACCCCATCCTTGGAGGGTAGGACATCGTGGTTGGGTTCCTCAGCCCAGGGACATCTCCGACCCTGAGCCACCCAGAGGAGTTTCACCTCTTGAGAAGGGGCTCAAGCACCATTTCTCACTTCCAAACATTTTTAGTTTCTCAGGTATTGTGCTTTTCCAAAGTGTTTTAGGATTGATGTGGCTTTCGGGATAATTGTTCCAGATGGGACAGTGGGGTGTAGAGGGAATGTGTAAAGATGATTTATCCCTTGCAGATCAGAGTCAGAGGGTTTGGTTGATCCTCCCTCCCTGCTGGCTCGGGCAAGCTGCAGTCAAATTTTATAGCAAACTACATTAAAATGCCTTTGCAGTCAGGATTAATTAAAACAGTTTTTGAGGGACACATGTGAAGTCACTTTGGGCTCTTTGCACCCGGAGTATTGTGGGATTGGTCAGTGGAATTGGCTGGAGCTGAGCAGCTCTGATCTCAGGGAATCATGGAATGGTTTGGGATGGAGGGACCTTCAAGATCATCCAGTCCCATGTTCTGCCATGGCAGGGACACCTTCCACTGTCCCAGGGTGCTCCAAGTGCCCCTTATCCAACCTAGCCTGGGACTTTTCCAGGGATCCAGGGGCCGCCACAGCTTCTTTGGGCACCCTGTGCCAGGGCCTGCCCACCCTCCCAGGGAAGGGGAAGAACTTCCTCCTGTTCATCCCTGTCCAGTCCCATCCTGTGCAAAACTCCAAAGGCACGACCATGGATTGTTCCCGCTGATTTTGGCTTGAGCTTTTTCTATCCAAAATCCAAACATGAACAGTCACGTCCATAATTTCTGTTTTTATTTGTTTATCACTCCCTTTGACTCATAACTTCAGATAAAAGCAATGATTTCCCAGCCGTGTTTGCTCCTGTCCTGCAGCGGTTGTCACTTGAGCGATCACTGCAAAGATGAGCAATGGTTTCAATCTCAAAGCTCTTCTGGCATCTGAGACTATTAAAAAGCAGAGTCTGAGAAGTGTCCCCTGTGCCCCTGGAGGTGCCTGTGTCTGGCTTGAAGGATGTTCTCCATCCCAAGGTTTTAATGGAAGGTGGAGCAAGGGAGCTGATTAATAACCCTGCTTTGCTTCCCCGAAATGAGGCGGTTGAGGGACAGGACTGAGTCCTGGTGTTTCACTCATTAATCTCTTCTTGTTAGAGCCAAGGGGCTGCTCCGTGATTGGGCTGCTCTAGGAAAGCTTTGGAAATGGGAGAGTGATGATTTATGTTCCCGATTTTGTGGCCTTGGCTTGGAAATGGGAAAACTTTTGGGAGGACAAGTGTTCAAGGCGAAGACCACCTGACATGAAATCGCTTTGACCATTGGTGCCTCCAATTAGTCATGGAGACAAAAGGCAAATCCTCCTTCCATACTGCCCAGCCATCCCTGATCCTCATCTTTGTGGAACTTTAGGAGCTGTTGGAAGGTTCCTGTAGGGTGAAAACTGGGATAGATGGGTGACAATGGGCCATGCAACTGAAAAATCTGTATTAGGTGTATATTTCCCTCCTTTCTCCCTTTTTGCCATCACACCTGGCTTCATCCCAAGAAAACATTTCATTCTTCCAGCACCTCCTGTGCCTGCAGGAGCCACACAGCTCAACCCCAGGCAGGTGCTGCCCCTCCAGCCTTTGGTGGCATTGAGTTGTGGCCTCACAACCCAGGTCCCCTCAGCGCCGAGAGGTTGTGAGGAGGGAGGAGATGAAGCTGTAACTGCAGAGGGTGAAAATGAAGTGAAGTTGGGCAGAACCAACCTCAAAAGACACCCTGGGATGCGTGCAGGCGTCAGCTTCATGAGCATTCCCAAAGGAAAAGCTGCTAAATGCCATGGGAGAACCAAGGTCCTCTAAGATGGATCCATTCAAGCCCCTTCAGCGGTTTTAGGTTCGGCTTAAAGAATGGATTAGGAGAAAAATGAACAACCAAAGTATGATGTTTTGGCCAGATTAGGCTGGAAGGAGATAAATGTGGCCTTGGAAATATTCTCTTCGCTTTAGAAGCCAACGTTATTCAGTTGTCAGATGTCTTCATCCACCAGAAATAAAAATGCCACCCAACGGCCGCGGGTCTCCGCGTTTGGGCTGACCAAGAGGCGCCATCACCAGATCATGCAAATAATCTGCTGCCTGATAATTAATGACGCGGCTGGGCATATTTTTTTGATGAATGCTCATGGAGCCTGGTGACAGGCGTGAAATTAGAAAATTCCTTCAGCGCCCTAAAATATAAATAGCTTTCGGAACTGAAAAGAGTTTCACAGCTGAAGATTTTATTGTGTTGAGAGGAAAAACTTTTCCACCCCCATCCCCCCCTTTCTTCTGGGCGAGTTGTTTGTCCGTTCACAAAACAAATACTCTGAAGCCCAGTGCGGCTCATGGGAATAAATTTCAGGTCGAATTAGTACAGTTTCCTTGCTGTCAGGACGGTGGAATTAATGGTGTTTTGATGACACGAATTTTGAAGGGCGAACAAAGACGCTGAAGGGAGGGAGACATGACTCCTTAGAAGCGCGGTCCTCCTCTCCCCCAGCCTCTCTTGTCTTCCCTGTCATCCGTCTGCCAATCTCCCTGTCCATGGTTAGTTAAAGGCGCTTTTTATCCTCTTTTCTTTCCCACAGAGTTTGCCAGATCCGGCCCAGTGCCTGGGTTCCAAGGGGACACGCTGCAGTTGGCCTTCATCGACTTGAGACAAGTAAGTCTTTGTGTTTTTGTTTTTTGTTTTGCTTTTAAGATGTGTGACTGAAGACCATCAGGTCTTAAGGGAAGGGAGAGGAGGGGAAACGGCGTCAGTGATTTACGCCAGAGACCTATATTTCCCCCCTCCTCCTCCTCCTCTCGTCGCTCGAAGCCACCTCCTCGCCGAGCGCTCCTGGAGATGGTGGAGGTGAAAAGGGCTGGTGGAAGGGGGCGAGGAAGAAAGCCAGGCCTGACCCTGGCCAACGGGGCCATTGTGCTGCCCTTGGCTCCTGCCGCCGCGGCGCGGAGGGACCGCGGCCGGTGCCGAGCAGGTGCTGGGAACAGAGAGAGCAGTGATGCAGAGCCCGCCCGCCTCGGGGACCTTTGTTCCCAGAGAATGCCCACGGAGGCGTTTGTGAGGGCGGAGGAATTTGCATTCCCCTGTGTCCGTGCCCGTCTGTGTCCCCTCTCTGTGTCCCTTGGCCACCCCCCCGTCCCGGTCCCCTCTTCCGCAGATGCTCCCCGGCCAGCAATGACAAAAGTGGCTCTTGGGGAAGATGGTTGGGGAAGGCTCCACCCATCGGTGGCCACCTCTGGAGGGGGCCCCGTTGGAGCCAAGTTGACCATAGCAGGTACTGAGGCCTTTGTGGGGCTTGGCAGCCAATTTTGGGAAAAGGGCCATTCTGGGGAGTCATTTGTTTGGGGGAGAAATGGGCATTATTGATACACTAGGCCGGGGGGAAAAGTGAGGTGGTCCTGTCATCTCTTGGCACTGAAGATGGATGGGTTGGAGGGAAAGTCTGAATGAAGTAAGACTCAATGACTGATGCTTCTCTCCTATTAAAACAATCTTTTTTTGTCTGTTAAACCCCCCTGGCTTTGTCCCTGCTGCCATCATGATGCAGTGCCTCTTGTTCGCGGGGTTGACGTAGTTTGCATTCTGAAAACTTTCGGGTGCCGAGGGTATTTCTTAAATCTGCATAATCCCTTGTATCGATGATCTTGCCCCTGCCTCTGATTCGTGCTGGAGCTGCTTTCAACCCGCCAGGGTTTGAGAACTCCTCAGAATCCAATTGATGTGCAGGGAGCCATCTGTCATCCCACGACACTTGTGTTAACTTTAATAACATCAGGACGCCACTTTTCGGGCCCGGGCCCGCCAGGAACTGAAAAATTTGTTTGCAAAAATGGTCCCAGCCGCTCCATGGGAGAGGTGTGCGTTATCACCAGGCTGTGTTGACACTTTTATCTTCATTAGCTCCTTGGCGCTTTATTGGCTGCGGCCCTCGACGCGCCCGCAGCCTCCTGGGTGTGAGGGAATGTGGAGGCCCTGGGCCTTTTCCAAGCACCAGGCTTGGAAATGAGCGTGGGGGTTTTGGAGAGGGAACCTGGGGCTCTTGGAAGAGTGAAACGCCTGGGAATGTCTCAGTGAGGTCGAGCCAGTGAAGCGTTTGTGTGGTTCATGAGCGCAAAACGCAGCCAAAGGGACCCAGCTGGCGTGAGGAGGAGGAGGAGCAGGAGCCTCCTCAGTCCTTCCTCTTCTATCCAATGGGTGTCCTTGGACACGGAGATTTTGTCTTTGTTCCAGGCGTTTTGTTCTTGCATTTAAGAACATTGTTCTTGCTCCCAGGTTTTGTTCTTGCATTTAAAAGCAGCAGCACCTCTGAATCTCAAGGCCAGGTTGGACAAGGAGCAGATCGAAGGACCCTGGGACAATGGGAGCGTCCCTGCCCATGGCAGGGGTGGCAGTGGGTGGGCTTTGAGATCCCTTCCCACCCAAACTGTCCCAGGATTCTGTGATCAAGCAAGGAGAAAGGGGAGATACAGGATGGGAAGTCCTGGATCTCCTGGGTAATGGATGATGATTGATGAGGGGAAAATCAAGGTGTTGTACAGAGATAATGGGGAAGAGCTGACCCATCCCTGACTTACCCAGTAGCATGGAAAGGTGAGGCAGTTCCCCCTCCCTGGTCCTGTCCATGACCTGATCTGGTGGCACGTGGGAATGTGTCACCAGACCCCATCCAAGCAAGGTTCTCTGTGGCCACCAGACCCCCTCTGAACACTCCCAGCGGTTCTTGTTGGACTGCAGCTCCAGCTGGGAGCAGGGAGAGGTGGGAAGGTCATGAATGAAGGTCTTTGATTGTTCTTCGACTTGTCTTGACATTTCTCTTGTTGGACTTGGCATTCTTTCTCTTTTAAGCCATGAAATTAAACTGAAGCAGGGTAGATTAAGTGGGATTTTTGGAAGGAATTGCTCTCTGTGAGGGTGGGGAAGAACTGGGATGGAGCCCAAGGCCTCCCAGAGCAGCTGTGGCTGCCCCTGATCCCTGGAAGTGTCCCAGGCCAGGTTGGACATTGAGGCTGGGATAGTGGAAAGTGTCCCTATCCATGGGAGGGGATGAAATGGGATGAGATTTAAGGTCCCTTCCAGCTCAAACCATTCCACGGTTCTGTGAAATATCACGTCAGTGTTGGTTCAAATGGAATGACCCAGCTGGGTTGGAAGGAGGGAGGAGAAATGCCTGGGCAAAAATTCACCAAAGTAGGGAAATTAAAGAGATTTCCCTTCCCAACATATTTCAGTAGGAGCTGTTGCAGAACATTTGTAAATCCGAGAAAATTTTCGCTGTAATGGGGGATGATTATGGGAGTGACCAAAATTAATAAAAATATGAAGTGATAGGAAAATGTGCTGACTTGGTCTGTGCCTTGGTGCAGATCCTTGTAGTGGGAAATAAACCCTAAAAAGATGTCACTGTTTAAAGGCATCAGAGTCTGTCCTTGTTCAGAGCAGCAGACTCAAGTTTTGTACATCAAAATCCTGGTTTTCCCCTTGTGCCCAATGAAATCAGGAGTAATTCCATCCTTGTCTGGAAAAGAGGAAGAGTTGAGCCCAGGCAATCAAAATCACTATTTTGAGCAGGCAGAAATGTAAAATGGGACTTGATTTCCTATTCTGGGACAATTCTAAATCCATAAATACCCTTAATGAAGTCATAAAGGAAACCCACTCCCATCTCAATTCCTTCTGCAGGAGTGAGACTCAAATATTTCAGGTTTTACAAGGAAGGAATATTTGCTTTTCCCCCTTCCAGTTAAACGCTCTTGCACGCTCGGTGCTGTATTTTAGAAATCTGAAATAAATTTAGTCCCATTTAGTCCCTTGCTGAAATTTGAATTAAGGAACTCCTGGATCTTCACCAAACACCCCTGAATGTCCAAACACCACTGGGGATATCCAGGTGCTCTCAGGTCATTCCCAAGCCTGCACATGGAATCATTCCCTGTTTTCCCCACAGCTGGAAGGGTTTTAATTTTTGGTTTTCACGGGTTTGTTGTGAGGACGTTGGTGCAAGGGGAGGGTTTTGTGCTGGTCTCTGAGGTCCCTGCAGTCCCTGGCCACGCTGATCTCTCCTAGAAGCCAGATCAGCACTCGTGGCCGCCTTCCAAGAAAAATCTGCATCCAGCCCTTGAGGAATTTCACTCTGGGCTCCGGGGAGGGAATGCACTCAGTGATGAGAGCTCCCTCCTCCCAGCCTCTCCTTCTGTCCAGTGAGTTACAAATCCTGAGTGCTGAGTTTCCTCTGCAAGTGCCAGCCTGAGCTCTGAGGGATGTCTGGACCAAGACAGGTGGGAACCCACCTGGGCTGAGGCACCTGGGTGTCCAAGGGATGGGGACAGGGAGGTTCTGCTCTTTTCCCCCAGATTTTTCTGCTTTTCTTGATGCAAACTTGGTGGGTTTGAGTTGCAGCATCAGCTCCTCAAACCCCATCAGTGTGGGGTTAAGACAGGCAAGGTCAGGCTTAGGTGGGATCTTGGCAAGGAATTCCTGCCTGGGCTGGAATTCCCAGAGCAGCTGGGGCTGCCCCTGGATCCCTGGCAGTGCCCAAGGCCAGGCTGGACACTGGGGCTTGGATCCACCTGGGACAGTGGGAGGTGTCCCTGCCCATGGATGGGATGGGATGGGATTTAAGATCCAACCCAAACCATTCCATGGTTCAGCTGGGAGTGGGAACCTCCCAAGGAATGGGATGAATTTAAGATCCCATCCAACACAACCCATTCCATGACTCTGCTACTGCTTGTCAAATGGGAAGTGCTTTGCTTGTGTGTTTTCCCTGTGTTGGGATCCAGCTGTGGTTATTGTGGGATCCTGCTGGACCCCAGCCAGCTGGGAGTGGGAAGTCTCCCTCCAATGTGTTCATTTTTCTCTTATTAACCCTGACAGAGACACTTAATAAAGGAATGATCCCCTCAGGAACACAATTCCCTTCCATCCCTGCTCTGTGATGGAATCATGGAATGGTTTGGGTGGGAAGAGACCTTAAATCCCATCCCATTCCACCTCCCACTGTCCCAGGGTGCTCCAAGCCCCAGTGTCCAACCTGGCCTGGGACACTGCCAGGGATCCAGGGGCATCCCTAACCTCTCCCAGGTTTCCTCTCTCTCCTGCCCTGTGTGCAGTCCCCAGATGTTCCCGTTTTCTCCAGCCCTGCACCTTTTTATCTAAAAATAAGAACCAAACAGAGGAGCAGAGCTGCAGCGTGAGCTCATCCCCGAGCCTGACATTCCAGCAGCCTGGATTCCTGGGCTCTGTGCCTGGATTTAAGGAACCACCTGCTCCCTTGGAGGGAGCAGCCAGTGTGGGGTCACTCCGGGAGCTCCAGTGGTGCTGGAATGGTGGGCATCCAGCCTGGCTCCTTATCAAATACCAGCTGATAAATCAGGTGTTGGGAACCCCCTCTGGCTGGGTTGTTGGCTGCTTTAGGGGCACTGGGAGGCCTGGAATTGTGTCCTTGTGGCACAAGGAACAGCTCCCCCAGGAATGGGCACATTCCCGAGGCTGATGGAGCTCAAGGAGTGCTGGGACAACACTCCCAGGGGTGCCCAGGGTGGGATTTTGGGGTGTCCCAGGCAAGGGAAGGAGTTGGACTCAATTTTGGGGATCTCTTTCCACTCAGCACCTCCCATGAGATGTATCCCTGTCTCCTACTGCTTCCATGTGCTCCAGGC